CTCCTCCATCTCTCTTTACTCGTCCTCTCCCTTGTCTGCTCCCCTTGTCATTGCACTTCACTACCTCCCTCCTGTCCATTCCTCTTCTCCGCTCTCTGCTCTCTGCTTCCCCCCTTCTCTGCTCGTCGCTTCTTCACCCCTGCTCTCTCCTCTCCCTTCTGTTGCCTTCGCTTTTCTGATCGCCTTTCTACTCTACTGTCCTCTCCTCTTCCATCCTTACCTCCTCTGCAAGAAGAGAAGCTCTCGCTTCGTCTCTCCTTGTCTCCTCTCTTTCGCTCTCGTTTCTTTTATCTTCTGTTCTTCACTTGTCTCCTCTCCCTCTCCTCTTCTCCCTCTTCCCCCGTCTCGTCTTTCTCTCTCTGCTGACAGCTGAGGCTGGAAGAGAAGCAGCTTGACAGGGAAGAGCAACGAGAGAGTAACGAGAGAAGAGAGAAAGACAAGGGAAGGGAGAGAGAGAGAGGGTGAGAAACAGGAAATATGAACAAGCAGTAGACAACGAGAGATGTTTAAAAGATAGGATATTTAAGAGAAGGTGAGAAAGGGATAAAGGTATCAAAGAGAGAATGAAGAGAGAAAGAGCAGAATCACGACCAGCAGCCCAGATGCAGAAAGAGAGAAAAATAGAAGGATAAGACGTGAGGTATGTATGAGGAGACAGACGCGAGCGGAAACAAGAGCAGAAGAACAAGCAGAAGAGAACGAGAAATGTTTACAAGACAGACAGAAGAGAGGCACAGGGAGACAAGCTGTCACATTGTGAAGAAGGATGATGACGAGGGAGACAGAAGCGAATGGGAAGCTCTCGGCATATGATGGGATGAGAGGCTTCATGTGCTCGTAACTAGCAGGAGATTGTTGTGCTTGTGTTGCAGCTGACGCAGCTGTCACTGTGTCCTAGAGCTCTCCGAGACTTCCCAGGGACAGAAAGATGGATAAGAGTACATAGACGAACAGCCTTAGGGAGACATGAAGGAAGGGAGAGAAGAGCGGATATTCCAAACAGGCTAATGCAAGCACCTGTAGCAGGTTTCTCCTGGAGGTAGGGTGTACTGCCCACCCGCATCCAGTGGTATTCTATAGGGTAGGGTAGGATCATATCACAGGAAGGGGTGGTCGTGAAAGTGCTTGTATGTTTCATTGTGCAAGAGGGGTTGGAAGGAGCTTGAGAGATGGTGACGACAAGCTTGTCTTGTCGCTAGAGTGTGAGATCGTCTTGTAACTGCTGCAGAGAGATGGAGACGTGACAACAGACAGAAGAGAGGAGAAGAGGGGAGGGAATTATATTCCCTGTCTGGTTTGTTGTGTTTTTTTTTGGCATTCTCGTTTGCAAGTAGAGGGAAGCTACAAACGTTGCGCGCTCCTAGAGCTCTCTGAAGGTCCCAAGAAGAGAAACTTGAGCTGTGTGTAGATGACAAGCCTTAGGTTTATGTGTAAGACAACAAGATCGAATCACCCCTCTAAGCAACTCTCGATGACATGACGCTTGTGACAGGCGTTGAGATCTGTTGGGCCTTGTCCCCTCCTGCTAGTCTG